CACAAAAAGTGATACATCAATTGAAGCATTTAAAACATTTGGCAAATTGTTGATAAATAAAACGACAAACAAAATACTGCCTTATGGGATACCCTGGTCCTAATTATAATGATCAGACTTTCCAGACGTCCAGATGTCATAAAATATATATTTAGAAGCGTCTCCAAACATGAGTCCGGTAAGTGCTTCAGGAGTTAAGTAAAGGATGTTATCAGCTCCTGTAGAAGTATCGTGAGCCTGGTCAAGAGCAGTACGGTGTCCATGAATCGAAAATATTTTTTTGTAATCTTCTCCATTATCTGAATTGAAAATAATATATTCGTGATAATTTTTAAATTGAGGTACATAATCAGATGAAGAAGAATGTTTGGCCAGTGTTTATTTGCAATATTTGTTCCATTAGTTAATAATTGATTCCCATTTTTCAGATGGTGAATGCGGGGCGGTGGGATAGCCTAATGGTTAAAGCGTTGGCTCGTTACGCCGAAGACCCGGGTTCGAATCCCCACATGGGCACAATGTGTGAAGCCTATTTCTGGTGTCCCCCGCCATGATATTGCTGGAATATTGCTAACAGCGGTGTAATACTAAACTCACTCACTCACTCACTTAAATGGCCAATACAACGACGTTGTATAATGACCTCCTCAAATCTGGACTGACAACCCAAGTAGGTATAACCAATAGTTGATTTAATTTCATGCATTTTATTGACAACTACTTGGGTATCCCACTTCTTTTGCAGCAACTGCGATTGTAAGTGGCTGTATCCTCAAAGGGGGTTAAAGTATCTTACAATTATTGTCCTCCTGTGAGGGTACGGTAGTCCCAAAACTTTCAAAGTCAATTTAGCCTTTAGCGTAAAACCAAAACTCAGTCAGTCAGTCAGTCAGATGGTGAATGCTAGATCAAGAGCCCTTACCTTTGATTTTCTGGATCAACTTCCATGCCTTAAAAATTGGTGTACGTGCATTGATTTTAGATACATAGTTTCGCCAATATTGACGTTTATTTTGTTTAAAGTCCGCCATTTATATTTGTTCAAATTATGGATCACAGGGTGGGGTGGATATAATGCTCAGCCTTTTCCGTGCCTTAAGAGACTGTTTGCAGTCAACATTAAACCATGGTTTGCGTACAAGAGAAATTGTAGAAGACTTTGGGATACACTCGTCAGCTATGTTATTCTGTTCATCAGAAAAGCATTTTATAGCATCAGGAATGTTAATGAAAAATTCAGGTTCAAGTTTGTCAGTGCAGAGATTTTCATTAAAAGGCCAGTTGGCCTTTTTACAAATTCCATCTTGTCGATGGAGAAACATCAGCTTGATTCACGGCTTTTAGTATTGTTGGGAAATGGTCACTTCCAGAGAGGTCGTCGTGGACTGACCATTCAGATTGTATCAATAGGTTGGCGTCAGTAATTGACAAATCAAGAGCTGAATAAGTTCCTGTGCCAGGATGTAAATACGTATTTGAACCATCATTATAAATGCAAAAATCATTATTCCTTATGAAATCCTCCAGAATTTTGTCTTTAGCGTTTGTAGTTGCAGCACCCCAGAGTGGATTGTGCCCGTTTAAATCACCCATGATTATACACGTGTTAGGAAATTCATCATACAGAGCTTGAAGTTCCACGAGCTGAAAAGTTGATAAAGTCGGAATTTACAAACAGTACAACTTAACTGCAACATGCAAAATAAGTCGTACAACAACAGCTTGGAGATTTGTTTTAAGTGTAATAGAGCTGCGGAGTACATGATTCCTTACAAGGATTGAAGATCCTCCAATGGCCCGAAAAATAATGATATGCATTAAATTGACGTAAGTCAAAACGACCCATAGCAGAATGCTGACGGTCTAAAATCTTGGACTCACAGATGTAAATCATTCAAATTTGTCCTGAGTCCTCTTCAATTCCATTGTACTGGAGGTGAAGAAGTTGTCTCTTGACAAGCTTTGTGTCCCACCATGGTTTTGGCTTCAAGTGATCTAAACTTGTTGAAGAGTTGGACCTGGTTATTAGCCCCTTTGGGGTTTCTACCACGTTGATTCTTTTTATTTGTTTCAGGTCTAGATTTGAATTTGCTTTCTTCAGTTTGTTTCTCGTTTATGTCAGCTTAACAGTTTGGAACTGAATTGGTCTGAGATAAAGACGAGTCCTGATTGCAAGATGCTTTGAATGATTGTGAACTGGATGTCTGTTATGTAGGTTTCGGCAGATATCAAGCTGCGGGCGGAAGAGTTTGCCCACGTGTACTCTGTCTGGCAACCTACTGATTTACATGGAATAGACCTGGGAGGCGGAGTTGACATTTAGCAGAAGCGGCTGCGGCATAAGACGGGCCAGGATTTTCATGAGCCTCTGAAAAGGTTATACTTAACCCGAGAATTTTCAATGTTTCAATGTAGAACATTGATGAAGATGAAGGATGACTTCCAGAGCGGTCTACACAGGCTGACGGATTATTAGAGGTTTCTGTCTTCACATTTCTCACCACATCGGTGGCAGGCAGCTGGGTTATGGCATGATTTGGAGCCATGGCCGTATCTTTGGTAATCGTAACACCTAAGGGGATTAGGAACATAGGCATCTACCCTTAGGTGACAATAACCAGAGTGAGTCTGGGCGTGATGGAAGACAGAAAGTAAACAAGTATGTGTTGCTTTTTAGAGTTTCATTTTCTCTTTCAAAAGTGAAACGTTTCACAGCGTGGGAGTGTCCTGTGAGGAGTGACCTTGACAAGAACATTAGCCTGTGATTTTGCTGAAAGCAGGATTTGAGATTTTATTTTTGGTATTCAATAAGGAGAGATCCCGATCGTTGTTTTTTTAATTTCTTTTATATTGTAAGACAAATCTTCTATACCCTTTGCAATGGCAAAATAGTTCAATTTCAGGGGGCTGTTGGTGTTGGTGGACAATATGACGGTCCTGGCGACATGTTGTTACGCGGGCTCGCCCACTACGTGGACGGTCATCAGTGCTGTTGGCGGCGTTGCATCGCTGTCTAAGACGTCCTATCGTTCGTACGCTGCAATTGAAGTCATTAGCAATGACTCGAGCACGTTGATCAGCGTCTAGACGTCCAATGGCTTGTTGTCGTTGATCTCTCGTTAACCTAGCCATAGCTGTTGTGTTCGATTGAACGATTGCCATTCAAGCTGGCAATTTATGGCTGAATGCATGCATGATGCACGTGCATCTCGATTTTAGTGTTGTGTTTGTGCAAACGTTTCCCTTTCCACAAACAAAAATATTTCAAACCTCAATCTCAAACAATACCTTAGTTGGGCAATACAGGCTATACGACCACGACTCATGTTTTCCTCAAACTTGACTTCCAGTGTATTTTTTAAAAAAGTAGGTTCAAATACTCCATTGATACTTAAATGTTATTTCCAATATTACGACGTTTCCGATATTAGTCACGATATGGCTGAAATATTGCCGATGTGGCTTTAAATTTTAACTCACTCACTCACTCTGTGGATCTCCAACAGACAATACCAGGGATACATGGAGGGCATAGGACTTTAGGAAAGAAAACGAATCAATAATTTGTGCATTCGTCAAAAATTGATTAAAGGATACATTTCAAAATTCCAAATATGTGCACCTCCTAGGTAACGGGTAAGTGCTTGGTAACGCTAGCTCTTACCCTGTGTGGACTCAGGGCAGAATGTGTCCACAGCACCCCATTGCTGGTCGTGAGAGTATGACCACCCGGTCCCGTTAGTCGCCTCATACAACAAGCATGGGTTGGTTACTGAAGATCAATTCTAACCCGGGTCTTTACGGGTTCTCTACATTGAACTATCTTTGGAGTCTGTTACAAAACTTTATTCAAATGAGTCCAACCCTGCATGCAAATGTGTGTTTAATCCGCTATATGAGGATCTGTATGTTACAAAATCCTCACTTATTCCACCTCCCCGAATACGCATAAAATCATTCATTACTGCTGCTAACATTGAGCTGGAAAATATATCTCCTTTCCGCATGATTTCTTCTCCTCCTTGGCAATTAGTACGGCCACAAGTCGACCTTACATTGGCCACGTTTAAAAATCAGAAACAAACGAATTACAGTTTTTACAAGTATTATCAGCCCTCATCAAATCTGTGACGCCACTTTTTATACTATACAGTGATTTTACACTTGCCATTACATGTTACATCCGGGATCTAATGCAAAAGAAGTGGGACACCGAAGTAGGTATAAATGCAATAAACCCAACTTTAGGCTGGGTTGTCTTCTTAGGCTGTCTGTCAAAAATTGCTAACGGCTGAAGAGATGGTGTAAATCCAACTTGGGTCCATGCAGGAAGCAAATGTACTGTAAGTCCCCATGGTCCCTGGTATGGTGATCTACCTTCGGCTGTTGGCAATCTATAGCCCGTTTTTATTTTGTATCGTCTTCTATAATTAAACTGTTTTAGGCTTTTATTACTAGTTTTAACTTATTAATATATGTGATAGCCTAGTTGTTTCACTGTCCTTCGTTGACACGTGCTTATAATGTAAATTTAATTATTAAAAATCTTGATTTAGTCATGATATGGCTGAAAATATTGCCGATGTGACATAAAATATTAACTCACTCACTTACTCTTAGACTGCCAGTCCAGATATGAAGACATCATTATGCGTCACGTCCTGCCACATTGGTCACACACGATATACCCATGACTATAAATTATAAGGTAGGATCCTTCGTGATGAAAGAATCACGGTCCAGCGTGTCCAGCATAATTGTATTTATTATTCCATCACAAGGGATCTTTTTTAAGAAGGTTAATTCTCATTTGAGTATTGCTTTCTTTTGAACTAAGATTGTTGGTAGTTGTATCTACAAAGGGGGGTAAAGAATTGTAAAATTATTGTTCTCCCGATACATTCAAAGTAAATCACCACTTTCTTATCTCGAAGAAAATATGTTATTTCAGATGGGTTTTTTCAGTTGGTATTTGTGAGCTGAAGTACTTCCTTTTACAGGTATAACTGGAACCTCTGGAGAACTCTGGCGCGAGCAAAGACGATTCGCCCTTAACACTCTCAGGGAGTTCGGAGCAGGCAGGAATACCATGGAGGACAAAATACACGAGGAAATCTCACAGTTTCTCGAGGCCTTCGAGACAGAACGGGGACAAGGCTTCGACTGCACACATCTGGTGCACAACGCAGTGTCGAATGTCATCTGCTCTATTATTTTCGGCAAACGATTTGAATATACTGACCCGCTTTTTATTACATTTTTAAAAGCCATGGACGAAGGTTTGGCAAATATGGGCTCGGCTGGAGTAGTGAATGTGCTGCCTATTGTGCGCTTTCTGCCAGGAGATCTATTCAAATTTAAGAAGACAATGCAGAATGTCAAGAAAGTCGAATCACTGTTAATAGACCCTATGACAGAGCAACACGTGAAGAATCACGACGATGACAATGTGGACGACTTCATCCACGCCTACATCAAGGAAATGAGACTTCGCAAAGCGAAAGAAGAGGACACGACCTTAGACTGTAAGCATACTGAACCAAGTTAAGTAGTTGTATGTAATAGATTTTCTAACTCCATTTTGCCTTTCGTTTGGCCATGGGACGACAAACAACTATGGTCATAAGGAAGTGCAAGTGGTGATGCACTTTCAAAACTTTCATTATTATCATATCATCATTGATTGACTCCGATATATCTCCCAATTTTGTGTTCAATCGTAAATTACATTGAAGTTCCACAACTTTTTTAAGAGTATATTTCAAATGAAATACAAATAAAAGGCATTCCTCGTACTTTGTTTCAGTGGAGAACCTGAAAAAGGCTATCGCAGACCTCTTTGTGGCCGGAACAGAAACAACAGCTACTACAATACGATGGACCATGGTCTACTTACTCCGCTACCCGGAAATACAGGAAAAGTGTTTTCAGGAGATCAAAGAAAACATTGGCCAGAGTAGACGTCCCTCCATGAAGGACAAGATTAACCTGCCCTACGTGGAGGCAACCATTTTGGAAGTCTTGAGACGAGCTGATATCGCCCCTACAGCTCTCCCACACACCGTTCCCCACGATGTCCAGTTCAGGGGCTACACGTTCCCAAAAGGTGTCTTGGTCATATTGATGCTTGATTCCGTCCTACAAGACCCGGATGTGTGGGGTGACCCAGACAACTTTCGACCTGACCGTTTCCTTGATGACAATGGCAAGATAGTAAAGAAAGATGAGTTTATTCCATTCTCTCTGGGTGAGTTCAACACATTTTAATGTATCAATGAATTAAGACTTACTGTTTCCAATACTTTAATATACACATCGAGCTATGCCGGATATCATGCCATACGCCTTGATATCACTGTCAATGTCAACTGTCCCAATGATGCAATATCAACGAAATGTAACATTTACCTAACGTCGATCTCGTAAGAGTAGGTCTTGTATTTCCTGACACATTTCAATGCAGGAGATTTAAACCTAAACGTTTGAAATGTTTCAGGTCGAAGAGTGTGTCTGGGCGAGTCCATGGCCCGGATGGAGTTGTTCCTCTTCCTGACCACCATGATCCAGAGGTTCAAGTTTGTCCCGGTGGATGGTCAGATGCCTTCTTCGAATGGAATCATCGGCTTAAGCCATTCTCCAAGACCATTCATCATGAAAGCCATTTCCAGAGTTTAATCATTTTATGTGAGTGAGTGGGTAGCAACTATCCAGCAAGAAACTGAGGGTGTTTAACTATAAATGATCCTGAGATTTTTCCGTAGTTATTGATTTTGTATTGTCATCAGTCATGTCCTAGCTACATTATAAGTGGTAGCATTATGCTGAGGGGTATACAGGGTGTTATGCGTCCTTTCCTTAGGTTTTTTAGAAAAAAACTAACATGGCTCGGTGGATAAACTTCCTGCGCTAACCTGGTATCTCCTCTATCACTCTTTCCAAAAGTTGTCTTTTTGGTTCCAGTCCTAGGTTTGGGAATTCCCAGGAAAATGTTTAGAAAAATCCAAGCAAACACATTTTTCTATTAGAGATATGGGATGCGATAGGAATATACATTTGCCAAACACAATGTCACCAAAATGACACCTTTCGAAAAAGAGATAGAGGAGATACGAGGTTTGCGCGGGAAGACGTCTGCCATGTAAACCTGCCCTAGTTTGGCAATGGGGAAATACATTTGCTATTGCTTGGTAGTGGCTGCTCCTTTCCAGCTAGCTTCCGGATGATACATGAATCTTTCTTCGGGCATATACAATTGTCTGCATATCTATTGCAGAGGAATATGTATCGTAGGCACCAGGCGAAACAATCTTGGTCGTACAGGTTCTCTTTTAATTGCAATGCAGTAGGGAATCTCGATTTTTTTTCTCGAACCTCTAGTGGGGACAATCTGCCGGGCGTCCTGTTGTTGGAATGTATTTGTTTTTCCAGAGAATACATTTCTTGCTGATAACGCAGTGGTCTATGGCGCCACACTTGCAAGTAGAGTTGTCTGGTTTGGATAGGGTAGGTAGTTCCGATATAGCAGCGAGGCAGTCGGTGCATTGGTTTTATCTGCCCTTTGTTTCTCGGCGGTTGGCGAGAACGATTCGGAGTTTGCCTGCGCAAGGTCGGAATTGGTTTGGTGGGTATATGTAGACAAAATCTACCGCAGCAAATAGAGTTCGAGAATCTGTCTAGGAATCTGGTATCGCTCGTAGAATGTGTGTCCCTATTGCTCTAGGGTTTGTTTCTCTTTGTCGGAAAGGAATAGATTGGGACTCGAAGACCTCTGCCTAGTCGGAAGTTGTCTGTGTGTGTGTGTGTGTCTCTGTTTGTGTCTCGGGGTCTGTTTTGGAGCTGTCCCGGTTTCGCATATATCTGGCTTGCGATATATGTTTCTCTTCTTCTTCGCCTTCCGAAGAGACATATTGCCAGATCAGATCTCGGCATAGGCTTCTCGCGATAGCTTGTTTCCTGGCATTGTTGTATCGGTTTGTTCTATATCCATACACCTGCATATCTCTAATTTGGGTGCACTTCGATCGGGGGTATGTGTGTGGAGTGGGGGCGAGTTGTAGGTGGGTAGCTTTCTAGTCCGTTTGGAGACTCCTAGAGGCAGGAGGTGCACCTCCACTGGGATTCCCCACTACTATACTACACCAAAACACAGAACACAAAATGTAGTCCAACACACAGAAATGTAGTCGAAAACGAGTGGGCTCGTACTGTCCTTGTGTAAGCTACTTTTTGTCGTCTGTTGCCGTATGCTGTATGTTGCCGTATGCTGTATGTTGCCGTATGTTGTTGTATTTTCTGTATATGGAGAAAGGAGGACCTAAAGTAGTCGAAAAGGGCCTCCACAGACTTTTTTCCCATTGCCTTATTATTGGGTGCACCTCCGCAGGGGTGTTTTCCCCATTGCTATACTACTCATGGTCATTTGTTCGAGTTCACATGACCCATTCAGAGATGGACATTCTTACATGAGGTAATATAATGATCTAAATAATGACGCACATACCAACCTGCACATTGGTGCCAGAGCGAAAGAAGGTTTTTGTCTAGTAATGTTACTGAAAGCCCAGTTCGCCGTTCCGGTCCCTTGATCTAAGAAACCATATGACTTATGAAAGTGAAATAGTTGTTTCCCCCACTGTTGGTACTTTTTTAGCCGCCTCAGCAGTTAAAGTGAGAACAATATTTATGGCAGCTGCTCAATACTCTTGCATGACCTCAAAAAGCATAAGCATTTTGCGTGTAAACATCTCGGAAATCGTCAGAATGGGGGAAATAGTGATTGTGCTGACGACGACATGTCTTTTATGTATATAATTTCGATTTTGCTATGTCTTTTGTGATTCAATATTATAAATGCTCCGGTATTGGAAATATTTTCTCCTAAGACAGATCATCTGTAGTTTGATGAATCTATATGATCCCGGGAAGACTTCGGTATTGGTACACCAACGGCATGACGCCAGGAAGGGGGCAAGTGCCCTGTTGTCCAAATATGATAAAAAATGTTCAAAAGTGTATCAAAACATCGGTTGGGTAAATGCCCCAGGAGCTGATAGTGGCTACTGTTGGCTCCTGTTGCTGTATCATGAGTGAGTGAGTTAAGTGTTACGCCACACTCAGCAATATTCCAGCAATATATATGTCATGAGTGAGTGAGTGAGTTTTACGCCACTGTTAGCAATATTCCGGCAATATCACGGCGGGGACACCAGAAATGGACTTTACACATTGTAACCACGTGGGGAATCGAACCCGGGTCTTCGGCGTAACGAGCGAACACTTTAACCACAATGCTACACACACACACACACACACACACACACACACACGAAGATAATAAGAGATACAAGCATTCAAACAGACAAACGTGTGAATGTATTTGGCATCCCCCAGAGTATAATGAGCGTGTTGGTTGATGTTTGATGGGGTCAAATCGACAGGTTTTGTCAACGTGCGAAGAAGCAGGTATAAAATCGGGTGTGAGGTTGTTTGTGTTGATGTGGAGTCATCCCTTAGATATCTTCCTTACCTTGTCAGCTTGCTGAAGGGAGTAACCTTTGGTCATGTGTACAAGGTGTATGACTTCGGATCAGAAGGTCCGTGGTTCGAATCCCAGCACGGTACATTGGCGCCCAACGAAGGACTGAGCACATTCATATTAAATCAGAGCTAAATAAGTGTCAGTACCCTGCTATTTGGCCCAGGACATGCCTTCTGTTGAGGCACGACACTCTAAATTTTATGGTCGCTGCACTGACATGGTCGATAACCATGCTCTGTGGAGATGTTGAAAGCAACCCTAAACCAGCTACCTGAGGGACGGTATTTTCCAAGTAACACAAACAGCGGCAGATTACAAACCAGACTGTCAGCGAGGAACGTTACACGTCATTGTTTGACAGGTGACCGTGAACAGGCAGATCAGGGTATATTAGAAATGGCCGATATCTCGAAAACGTTGAAGACAATGGTGAGATATCGGCTATGAACTTGAAATTTGTTTGTCAAAGATTACGATGACAAACTTAAGAGTAAGAAGCCACTAACGGGGTCGGGTGATCAGGCTTGCTGACTTGGTTGACACGTGTCATCGGTTCCCAATTGCGCAGATCGATGCTCATGCTGTTGATCACTGGATTGTCTGGTCCAGACTCGATTATTTACAGACCGCCGCCATATAGCTGGAATATTGCTGAGTGCGGCGTAAAACTCAACTCACTCACTCACTTTCCTACATTTCTAACAGTCAGTAACCCATTTGACGTTCCACCCCCATCAAGGTGGCCTTATTGTCAGTTTGACTTCATTTGAGACCGATGAATTGCTCACTAACACAAAATCTAATACATGCAGCAAAATCAAACTTTGCACAGTCACTTGAAATCGACGGACCAACTCTGATGATTTGTGTCATAATTTTGGACACCCGAATAAAACAGTTGTTTCACAAACGATCATTTTTTTGTTGTCACTTTTCGCTGTTTCTTACGAGGGAGGACCATTTGCTGGTAGAACAGCCAGGTATGCGAGTTGTATGTGTGAAATTGAAATTTCACTGCATACGTTTGTTGATTACCTGGCTGTTCTACCTGGTTCAAATGAAGTCAAACGCACTATAGTTCTCATCATTGTGCTCTGAGAAATGTTCCAGAATGTCACTGACCCAATTCAGTTGTTTTCAGGTGAACTGAATGCTATAGCTACTGCAATCATTCCTATGTCCTCTAGGCACTCTTGAAGAGCCACCTCCTCGTGGTGGGTGCTGGGTAACGCTAATTGCTCTTCAACCCGCGTGTGGACCCGGGGGTATGTAGATCCACAGCACCCCATTGCTGGTCGTAAAACCGATTTGGGCAACTTGTTTGCCATGGGTTGCGCCCCTGTGTCGGGGGAGGATGGGAGTCTGGCGGTTGAGGGCAATAGGAGCCTGGAACCGTGTTCCTATTGCCCAACACAACACTTCGCCCCTTACTTTACCTAGACGGGTGGTAGAACTGGCCCGATTCTGTCAATCGGCTGGTCACGCCAAGCCCTGTGCATTGTGATTATACTTGGCTTTGGTTATTTTGATTATCAGTGTACAAATAATCATTATATTTAATTGCCTATGCCAGGAAGCAGTGGCTCATGGGCCAATCTGGTGATAAGGACCTCCAAATGATGTATATCTCCAATTTCTTGTCATGGGCCGAGCCAGCCGGACACTAAATTGGTAGATAAATGCAGCTGTTTGTGTCGTCTCCTTGGAGTATAACACCCCTGTATCCCTGGTGTCGGCATTTTGGATAGCCGGTGCTCTCTTACACTGTCCTTGTTGACACTCCGTAGTGGGTGCCGAATCAACTTCCTTTCAAAATGTCTCAAATACAAGCTGGTTTATCTGGAAATGAAAAAGAGGCGTCCACATGAAATAGATCACTCTGATGAACATTCTGCAAACGTCGAATCATGGGCTCGTTTCCTGGTTATTGAAGCTACGGATTTTCTTCCGATTAAGCTAAACCCATTTGCTATTTCGTAACCGATCTCTGGGATTTGTAGCGAGGTTAGAAATGTCACTAGTTTCCGTACTGGTTCACTTATGGTGGAATGTGCACGGAGACAACAATCTCTCAATTTGTTCTCTCAATTAAAACATTTGCAAATGTTGAGGTTGCTGTGTCTGTGCACAGAACTCTAAATACTTGTCGTGGTATCATACGTGACCGGGCTCGGTCTGTATGATATGAGTGAAGAGGACATAAGTCTCTCTTCCCTCCCGCAGTCGATCAAAGCAGGATACTTTAACATCGGGGTGGCTGTGTATGTCCCCAATGTTTTAAGTGTAAACGTTTCAGTCACGGGTCACACTCATGTTGAAACTCTGTGTACCGCCATCAGGGTACCGACTGTGAAAGAGACTACAAATGTGCAAACTGTGACGGCCCGCATTCTGCTTCGTCCAGGTCCTGCCCTGTGTATCAGAGGGAAGCAAAAATCATGAAAATATAGTGTGAAAAGAACATTTCTTATCTTGCTGCGAAAAATATCTTCACAAATCAGTCCTCAACTCTTCTGAATGTTACGGGGCGGTGGGGTAGCCTAATGGTTAAAGCGTTGGCTCGTCACGCCGAAGACCCGGGTTCGAATCCCCACATGGGCACAATGTGTGAAGCCCATTTCTGGTGTCCCCCGCCGTGATATTGCTGGAATATTGCTAAAAGCGGCGTAAAACCAAACTCAGTCAGTCAGTCAGTCCGTCAGTCAGTCTGAATGTTACATATTCTGCTGCAGTCACCCGCACTGTAGCAATGTCCTATACTGCATGTCAGACTGACTTGACTTGGGACAAGCCAGAAAAAACCTACAACATCAAACACTCAATCTCCTCGACCTACTTCACCATTCACTCGGTCTACGTCTAGATCCCAGACAGAAGATATTCCGACCGTTAAACCACCACAGCTATCTACATCAAAACCCAGCACAAGGGATAAATATTTCAGTGTCAAAACGTTTAAAGATCCTCTTAACAAAGTTAATTATCATTTTCTTATGAGTTTTTAAAAGAAATTGAACTGATTGATAAATTTTGATTGGGATAATTTGTAGATAGATATTTTTAATGATCGGAAGTTTAAACAAGTAACCTTTGTTAATGGCTGTACCCTCAAGGGAGGTTGAACTATTGTAAAATGATTGGCCTCCTAAGAGGGTACGTTGGTCCCGAGACTTTAAAGGTAAATTTAAACTTACCAGGATTTTAAGCGTAGTATTTTTATTTTAATTATAGCTAAATTTGACTACAAATGAGGGGATGGTGTAAATCCAGCTATGGTCCATGTAGGTAGCAAAGGCACTGTAAGTCCCCCTGATCCCTAGTTTGGTAATCTACCTTCAGTCGTTGGCGATATAAACCCCGCGTTTTATATGGTGTTGCTGGTGATCTATAGCCTGTTCTTATATTGTACTGTTGTGTCTCGTGATATATATTTTATGATAGCGTACTAGTTTCAAATTAAGAGCTGTGATATCCTAGTACTTTTACTGTCCTTCGATGACAGGTTTTTAAGTTACACTAAACGCCAAAAGAAACGTTACCCTCCTACATTTACGAATTACTTAAAAACTGTCAAAGATATGTTAGGAGGTATTAGTTTACAAGAAAGCTAAACAACACAGCTTTATGCAAATCACGAAAAATATTTCTCAAATGCATTCATATTTAGGTGAAATGCATCTTTTTTAGAAGAGTTAATTTGTCCTATTTTCGTCCATGCCGAAATAAAGCCAATAACAGTTATTTAGATGTCCAAAAGACAGGTTGAAATAAAAATCTTGTTTGAGACAAAGATAAACCCTTCAAAGACACCATTTTTCAACTTTTAAAACAAGAAACAACTAATGTAGAGTGTGTAAAATTGTGTCTTTTAAAACATTTTCTGCTGATTTGCATTAGTGAAAACAAGTAAAACGTGTCTGTGATGTTGTGAGAAAATGTTTGGGAACATCTGAAATTATCTTTGTTACAATTTGTGCTTGCAAAGTTACATTTTTCCATATCTGTTTACACATAGCAATCAATATCAATCGCCAAAACGCAGCAATATTCAAACAATATTCAAGCAGTATTTGCATCCATTTCACATGTAGAATGATTCTGTAGGGTATAAAGAAAGCCTAGAATGCGTGATATGATACACAAGTACGAGAATTATGCCACGATTAACAGCTGAAGAGAGAGAAAGAGCCATTGTAATGGTAGAGGGGGTCGGCATACAATGCCGTTGCCAACGCCCTCGGATGCCATCGTATCACGGTTATAAGACTTATTCAGGGCTTCAGGCAGACTGGGGTCCCCGTAGACAGACCAAGAAGTGGAAGTCCACACATCACAACGCCAACTGAAGATAGGTACTCCCGTCATTAAGGAAGGAGGGTAACGTTTCTTTGGGCGTTTAGTGTACATTTATTTATTTGAATATTGTTCTCGTCACAAAATTGCTGCAATATTGTCGATATGACGTTAACTTTTAACTCACTGTCCTTCGTCGACACGTTTTTGTAATTTAATTCCATTTATTGTCAATTTATGACTTTTTAAGTCAACAACATGGCTGATATATTGCCGATGTGACATTAAAACTTAACCCACTCATTCCTTTTCCTGATCACCATGCTTCAGATGCCTTCGTTGGATTGAATCCTGGGCATAATCTATTCTCCAATTCGTCATGAAAGCCACTCCCAGAGTTTCATCACTTTATGTGAGTATGTGGGTAGTGTTAAGGCTGCATTGAGCAATTATACAGCTAGGTAATGACTGTCTTTAACAATATATGATCCCAACACATACTACGGTAACCCAGATTGAAAGACATTTTTTGTCAAGTCATGTCACTGAAAGCCAAGAGAGTTACCGTTCCGGCCTATATGCCCGCCGTTCGTCGTATAATGAGCGAGTGAGTGAGTTTAGTTTTACGTCGCACACAACAATATTCCAGCTATATTGCGGAGGTCTGTAAATAATCGAGTCGGGACCAGACAATCCAGTGATCAACAGCATGAGCATCGATATGTGCAATTGGGAACCAATGACATGTGCCAGCCATGTCAGAGAGCCTGATAACCCGATCCCGTTACTCGCCTCTTACGACAAGCATGGGTTACTGAAGGTTCATTCTAACTCGGACCTTCACGGGTTCCGTCGTATAAAGAAACCAGATGACCAATGAAACTGGAAGTTGACACACTTGTTTCCACCACTGATGATACATCTCTTTCCACTAGTTCGAATCTGATATTGGGCATAGCCGCCTCAGCAGTAACAATGTGAAAACAATATTTATGGCCGCTGCTAGTTACTCTTGCATGATCTCGAAATCCATTATTGTTTGTGTAAACATCTCTGCAGTGGTGAATGGGGATACAGTGATTGTGCTGACGACGACACCATGTTCTTTAATGTATATCATTTGGATTTTACTGTGTCTTTTGTGATCCAATCAAAAAATGCTGTGCTGTTGGAAACATGTTTTCTTTAGACAGTTCATGAGGCCCATGATTTGTATGAAGTAAGTGGATCGTTTACTGCAAAATCACTAGGATCCAGTCGTTAACAGTGAGTATAGAGCAAATCAGCTTTATCCGATTCACAAACTCACAAGAACGTTGAAAGTTGTATTAGCAAGGAAACGTAAATGATAACAAATGACACCAGCTGTAACACGGACAAACAAACAAACGTTGGGTAACAGTTGGGACACCTGCTTTTGAGAGAGTCAAGGACGCATTAAAGTGTTGATTCACTTTTAGCAGGAGTGGGACGCAACATATGTCATATCAGGGATTACACTTTCTCAGTAAAGTACAGTACTAGTACTTTGGGGACGTTGAGTCCCATCCGGGATTCAAACCCACTCTCACTGTCAGGCACCTGAATGCAAAGTCAGCGATCTAACCCACTGAGCCAACGTTGATTCCACAAAAATCACAGTCTGACAACTGGTAGTCCAGATAACGTACTTTGTTTACCAAAGGGAAAAACAGGTTCAGGTTGCGCAATATATGGGACTTTGAAAGCTGCTTATCAACTCGAGGTGGCCCATATACTGCACTTAGCAAAATTGCATACTCCCGTCCGAGTCATGTTCTTCGGCTGATGCAATTAAACGACTGAATTACTGTGGTTGCATCAGGCAGTACATTACAGTGTACACTTATAAATACTCGTGGGCACATATATTTTGGAAAACTACGTTTCGAGAAGAGCACAATGACAGAGGTATTCGCCTTCAGTCCTACAACTGTGTTGCTGTGTGTGGTTGTGCTCGTTTTGTTATGGCTACTAACGCGGCGACCCTCTGGGCTCCCTCCCGGCCCCCCTCTCCTCCCGTTTTTGGGGAATGCCCTCTCCATGGACTCCGATCCCCGGATTACGTTTAAGAAACTCAGGCAACAATATGGGGACATCTTCAGTGTGTACCTGTTCAACACACCACTCATCGTCCTCAACGGTTACAGCACTCTGAAAGAAGCTATTGTCAAGAACGGCGACGTCTTTTCTGAGAGGCCTCACATCACACTAAATGACTTCGTTGCAAGAGGAAAAGGTAGGTGTAATGTCTTCTTACAGTGCAGCATGAACCTGTCACTCTCTATGATCTTCATCTGTGTTGTCCCACATCATATCACTACCTGTATTTTCACTCACCATCTCAGCACCTGCGTTGTCCCACATCACATTCTCACCTCTGTTGCTTCATACCACATGGGCACCTGCTTTGTATTCTCACCTCTGTTGCTTCATACCACATATGCTCCTACTTTGCCCCATATCACATTCTCACATCACATTCTCACCTCTGTTCATCATGCCACATGAGCACCTGCGTTGTCCCACATCACATTCTCACCTCTGTTGCTTCAATCCACATGAGCACCTGCTTTGTCCCATATAACATTCTCACCTCTGTTACTTCATACCACATGAGCACCTGCTTTGTCATACATCACATTCTCACCTCTGTTGCTTCATACCACATGAGCACCTGCTTTGTCCCATGTCACATTCTCACCTCTGTTGCTTCTTACCACATGAGCACCTGCTTTGTCCTACATCTCATTCTCACCTCTGTTGCTTCATACCACATGAGCACATGCTTTGTCCCATATCACATTCTCATCTCTCCTGCTTCATACCACAGGAGCACCTGCTTTGTCTCATATCACATTTTCACCTCTGTTGCTTCATACCACATGAGCACCTGCTTTGTCCCACATCACATTCTCACCTCTGTTGCTTCATACCACATGAGCACCTGCTTTGTCTCACATCACATTCTCACCTCTGTTGCTTCATACCACATGAGCACCTGCTTTGCCTCATATCACATTCTCACCTCTGTTGCTTCATACCACATGCACCTGCTTTGTCTCATATCACATTCTCACCTCTGTTGCTTCATACCACATGAGCACCTGCTTTGTGTCATATCACATTTTCGCCTCTGATGCTTCATACCACATGAGCACCTGCTTTGTCTCACATCACATTCTCACCTCTGTTGCTTCATAACACATGAGCACCTGCTTTGCCTCTTATCACATTCTCACCTCTGTTGCTTCATACCACATGAGCACCTGCTTTGTCTCATATCACATTCTCACCTCTGTTGCTTCATACCACATTAGCACCGGCGTTGTCCCACATCACATTCTCACCTCTGTTGCTTCATGCCACATGAGCACATGCTTTGTCCCACATCACATTCTCGCCTCTGTTGCTTCCATACCGTTGCTTCATACCACACGATAGCACCTGCGTTGTCCCACATCACATTCTCACCTCTGTTGCTTCATACCACATGAGCACATGCTTTGTCCCACATCACATTCTCGCCTCTGTTGCTTCATACCACATGAGCACCTGCTTTGTCCCACATCACATTCTCACCTCTGTTGCTTCATACCACATGAGCACATGCTTTGTCCCACATCACATTCTCACCTCTGTTGCTTCATACCACATGAGCACCTGTTTTGTCCCACGTCACGTTCTCACCTCTGTTGCTTCATACCACATGAGCACCTGCTTTGTCCTACATCACATTCTCACCTCTGTAGCTTCATACCACATTAGCACCTGCTTTGCCACATATTACATTCTCACCTCTGTTGCTTCATACCACATGAGCACCTGCGTTGTCCCACATCACATTCTCACCTCTGTTGCCTCATACCACATGAGCACATGCTTTGTCCCACATCACATTCTCACCTCTGTTGCTTCATACCACATGAGCACATGCTTTGTCCCACATCACATTCTCGCCTCTGTTGCTTCATATCACATGAGCACCTGCTTTGTCCCACATCACATTCTCACCTCTGTTGCTTCATACCACATGAGCACATGCTTTGTCCCACATCACATTCTCGCCACTGTTGCTTCATACCACATGAGCACCTGCTTTGTCCCACATCACATTCTCACCTCTGTTGCTTCATACCACATGAGCACATGCTTTGTCCTACATCACATTCTCAACTCTGTAGCTTCATACCACATAAGCACCTGCTTTGCCACATATCACATTCTCACCTCTGTTGCTTCAAACCACATGAGCACCTCCGTTGTCCCACGTCACATTCTCACCTCTGTTGCCTCATACCACATGGGCCCCTGCTTTGTCCCACCTCACATTCTCACCTCTGTTGCTTCATACCACATGAGCACCTGCTTTGCCACATATCACATTCTCACCTCTGTTGCTTCATACCACATGAGCACCTGCTTTGCCACATATCACATTCTCACCTCTGTTGCCTCATACCACATGAACACCTGCTTCGTCCCACATCACATTCTCACCTCTGTTGCTTCATACCACATGAGCACCTGCTTTGTCCCACATCACATTCTCACCTCTGTTGCTTCATACCACATGAGCACCTGCTTGGTCCCACATCACATTCTCACCTCTGTTGCTTCATACCACATGAGCACCTGATTTGTCCCATATAACATTCTCACCTCTGTTACTTCATACCACATGAGCACCTGCGTTCTCATACATCACATTCTCACCTCTTTTACTTCATACCACATGAGTACCTGCTTTGTCCCATGTCACATTCTCACCTCTCTTGCTTCATGTCACATGAGCACCTGCTTGGTCCTACATCTCAACCTCTGTTGCTTCATACCACATGAGCACCTCTCCCATATCACATTCTCATCTCTGTTGCTTCATACCACATGAGCACCTGCTTTGTCTCATATCATTCTCACCTCTGTTGCTTCATACCACATGAGCACCTGTTTTGCCACATATCACATTCTGTAGCTAACCTCTGTTGCCTTCCAAACCACATGAGCACCTCCGTTGTCCCACGTCCCATTCCCACGTCACCTCTGTTGCCTCATACCACATGGGCACCTGCTTTGTCCCACATCACATTCTCACCTCTTTTGCCCCATACCACATGAGCACCTGCTTTGCCACATATCACATTCTCACCTCTGTTGCTTCATACCACATGAGCACCTGCTTTTGCCACATATCACATTCTCACCTCTGTTGCCCCATACCACATGAACACCTGCTTCGTCCCACATCACATTCTCACCTCTGTTGCTTCATACCACATGAGCACCTGCTTTGTCCCATGTCACATTCTCATCTCTGTTGCTTCATACCACATGATCACCTGCTTGGTCCCACATCACATTCTCACCGCTGTTGCTTCATACCACATGAGCATCTGATTTGTTCCACATCACATTTTCGCCTCTGTTACTTCATACCACATGAGCACCTGCTTTGCCCCACATCACATTCTCACCTCTGTTGCTTCATACCACATGAGCACCTGCTTTGCCACATATCACATTTTCACCTCTGTTGCCTCATACCACATGAACACCTGCTTCGTCCCACTTCACATTCTCACCTCTGTTGCTTCATACCACATGAGCACCTGCTTTGTCCAATGTCACATTCTCACCTCTGTTGCTTCATACCACATGAGCACCTGCTTTGTCCCACATCACATTCTCACCTCTGTTGCTTCATACCACATGACCACCTGCTTTGTCCCACATCACATTCTCCCCCTGCTGCTTCATATGACATGAGCACCTGCTTTGTCTCACATCACATTCTCACCTCTGTTGCTTCATATGACATGAGCACCTGCTTTGTGTCATATCACATTTTCGCCTCTGATGCTTCATACCACATGAGCACCTGCTTTGTCTCACATCACATTCTCACCTCTGTTGCTTCATACCACATGAGCACCTGCTTTGCCTCATATCACATTCTCACCTCTGTTGCTTCATACCACATGAGCACCTGCTTTGTCCCACATCACATTCTCGCCTCTGTTGCTTCCTACCACATGAGCACCTGCTTTGTCCCACATCACATTCTCACCTCTGTTGCTTCATACCACATGAGCACATGCTTTGTCCCACATCACATTCTCACCTCTGTTGCTTCATACCACATGAGCACCTGTTTTGTCCCACGTCACGTTCTCACCTCTGTTGCTTCATACCACATGAGCACCTGCTTTGTCCTACATCACATTCTCACCTCTGTAGCTTCATACCACATTAGCACCTGCTTTGCCACATATCACATTCTCACCTCTGTTGCTTCATACCACATGAGCACCTGCGTTGTCCCACATCACATTCTCACCTCTGTTGCCTCATACCACATGACCACATGCTTTGTCCCACATCACATTCTCACCTCTGTTGCTTCATACCACACGAGCACATGCTTTGTCCCACATCACATTCTCGCCTCTGTTGCTTCATATCACATGAGCACCTGCTTTGTCCCACATCACATTCTCACCTCTGTTGCTTCATATCACATTAGCACATGCTTTGTCCCACATCACATTCTCACCTCTGTTGCTTCATACCACATGAGCACATGCTTTGTCCCACATCACATTCTCGCCACTGTTGCTTCATACCACATGAGCACCTGCTTTGTCCCACATCACATTCTCACCTCTGTTGCTTCATACCACATGAGCACATGCTTTGTCCCACATCACATTCTCACCTCTGTTGCTTCATACCACATGAGCACCTGCTTTGTCCTACATCACATTCTCAACTCTGTAGCTTCATACCACATAAGCACCTGCTTTGCCACATATCACATTCTCACCTCTGTTGCTTTCAAACCACATGAGCACCTCCCGTTGTCCCACGTCACATTCTCACCTCTGTTGCCTCATACCACATGGGCGCCTGCTTTGTCCCACCTCACATTCTCACCTCTGTTGCTTCATACCACATGAGCACCTGCTTTGCCACATATCACATTCTCACCTCTGTTGCTTCATACCACATGAGCACCTGCTTTGCCACATATCACATTCTCACCTCTGTTGCCTCATACCACATGAACACCTGCTTCGTCCCACATCACATTCTCACCTCTGTTGCTTCATACCACATGAGCACCTGCTTTGTCCCACATCACATTCTCACCTCTGTTGCTTCATACCACATGAGCACCTGCTTGGTCCCACATCACATTCTCACCTCTGTTGCTTCATACCACATGAGCACCTGATTTGT